AGAAACGTGCATAATATTTTGCTCGATGCGCCCTCTTGTGGCCTCAGGAGAGAAGCCAACAGCTTTTTTCCCCCTAACTAAAATTATGCCTTTTAAATTCGAATATAATTCGAATTTTGATAATATTTAAGTAGAAAATTTGAATTTCGTTTTTCAGTCATTTTGACAGCCCTAATCAGTAGTATTATCTGTGATTTGAATTTTGTGAACGGGAGTTCCTCTTTTGCTATGTTATAAGCTGGGCTTCGGATGCTTTCACTTTCGAATTCACGATCTTATTGTCACGTTTTACGAGAAAAGATAATTGTCTGTTTTGCTTACATCTACACACCTTTCACTTTTTAAGACTAAAACAAAATATGGATTCATTGTTATTCTTAATTAAAAAGCACAACAACAATAAAACAGTAGGATACAATGACAAACTAGCTTACAAAACGTTTATTAACAAAAACGAATAACATGAGGCATGGCATACACCACATGTTATATTCTATACAGACTAATAAATTAAAGAACGTTTGGCAAACACTGAGGAATCAAATAAAAAAAATAAATAAATAAAAGAGAGCCTCCATAGTGTAACGTGAGGTAAACAGCAAAGATAAGCTTTTCAAAATGAAAACAAAAAGAAAAGTAAAACTAAACTTTCTGACGGTGACGGTGCTTGCATGTTTTTTTTTCCCCCACAAGAATATCACCATGTTCACCCTCTCTGGTTTAAGAAGCGGTCTTTTAACTTTACTTTAGCTTGTAAACCATCCATCGTTTCCTCAATGTGCGCATCATTTTAGCTGTGCGCACCTTCGCGCTCGTGCTGACGCGAATATAAACCAGGCTCTACACTCGAAGCGCTGCGCAGTTCAAACGAGTAGCGCGGTTTCGTTATGCTTTCAGTTTCGTTAGCCATTTGATTTTTCACATATGCAACAGAAATGGCAGCGCTTATGAGTTGAACAACGCGGTGGTCGCACACAAAATTCAGTCGCACAGGCAGAAAAATGGTCGCAAAATGCGACCATTTGGTCGCAGTCTGGAGCCCTGCACATTAGTCTGGATTGTTGGGTAGTAGTTCACATCAGTGTGGGATCAGCATAAGGCTGTATTCAAGGGCACATAGGGACAGTAAATAGGGTTAAGCTATGGCAAGGATGTCCAATCCTGCTCTTGGGGGGCCAATATCCTGCAGAGTTTAGCTCCAATCCTAAATGAAACGAGATAATCAAGGTCTTCAGGATTACTAGAAACTTCCAGGCAAGTGTGTTGAGGCAGTTTAGAGGACTCTGCAGGACACTGGCCCTCCAGGAGCAAGACTGAACACCGCTGCACTGCCGTTTTGTGAGCTTCATGAACATGCCTTGATCTGGGACAGGGCCTTGATCTCCATGCCTTTCAATTTGGGACAGAGCCTTGATCTTTATGAAGGACAACCATCCATTCAGCACAGAAAGACTAGGAATGGAACACGATAACTGGAAATGTCCTATGGTGAACAGGACCTGATGCAGGGGCATTGTTGTATTGTGCATAGCCAATGTGTTGTGTGTGAGTCACTTACAAGGATGGGTCATGGACAAGATCTTTAAGGTTTATTCCACTGCGGTCCTCAGCAAGGTTTCTGAAGCAGCTGTCACTCACTGCAGGCAGGAAAGAGATGGAGAACGGACGTGAGACATGGAAAAAGGGAAAAGAAAAGAGGGAAAAAAGGCACATCATTGCATGGAAATAACAAAATGCCCCTTCGCAGACCATAAATGTCTGATTCCTTAAACGTCACGTTAGTCCTGAGGTTTGAGAGAATATGGGTTATGTCAAAACACATTACTCAACAAAATCACACAGCTACAAACATGGAGAATCATACTCTAAGGCCCTCATGTATACTATGTAAAGGAGGCCACACTGTTACGCACCACAGAGCATTAACATTACTGTCCTCCTCTGTGTTGTGTCAAATTACTCTAGGAATTTTCAACCTGTATGATGGTGAGCAGAAACACCACCACTGATAACCATCAGTTCAGTACAAATCTTCAAGCACCAGCACAAAGCTACCAGTAGTAGTTACAATTGCAACAGTAGTTAAAGGGGGTGTATCATTGAAAACAGGATTTATCTTGCTCCTTTCCTTCTTTTTGAACACATAAGAACCATCTACAAAAACTATGCTGCAAAAATCATTCAGAAATCATCATTGTATTGATGCCAAAACAGTAAGCTCATTAGCATATGACCGACCACGTTCACATATCAATGCCCATTTAGAATTCACTAGCATTACAAGCGAGAAGTTAGTAAGAGATTAGCCAATTAAAACATTATTCTATTAGCATATAGAATTCTTAAAAAAACAGTTCATCCAAAAATAAAAATGTTTGGACTCCACTGACTTTCACTGTACAGGCAACAGAGTTTAAACATTCTTAAAAATGTCTTATTTTGTGTTCAAAACTAAATGAGAGTGAGTAAATGTGACAATTTCCTTTTCCTCTAAAAGCACAGTACCAACACAGTTTAACTTGAAGCCCCAAAAAAAAGGTGGAAAATAGACAAACTACATGATCGCCGTTTGTGGTGCAAGAAAACCTGACTAAATGTATTATTGTACTTTGGGGAAGAAAATAAAAAAGTGTGGACTATATCAGTGTTGTAGACAAAGCCAGCTCATCTGAGTCTAAGTACAGGCCGAGACCTATAGGTTGAGTCCAAGTCAAGACTAAGACCAGAAGAGGGTTGAGTCCGAGTCTGAACGTGGTTTAGAATCAGTGTCACACGAGTCTCCACAGTGTATACATACTGGTCCAGCACAGAGTGATCATATGTGTGAGTCGGTACAGAAAAACAAAATGTGTCTGCAGTGTTGTATTCTGAGTCGAGACTGAATGCTCCAAATGCTGCAGAGTCCATGACAAGAAGACCAAGACCGAGTCCAAGTATTACAACATTGGGCAATATCCCTCAAGTCAACATTGAAACCCCATTTAAACCTGGTCTTATTGTGCATGTTATGCCAAAGAAAAATATCTTCACTATAGAACATAAATTTCTACACCTCTGAAATGACTTTTTAAGGTCACCATGCCCTCTTATTTCTCAACCACTGGCCATATAGAGGCGACTGTTCATGATCCATTCTCGATGGTTAAATGAAGTCTAATCCTACATTTTTTTCTCATCAAATATGCATCACCTAGAACTATGCTGCATTACCAAATTCAATACTTGCGAATGCTTTTATATGCTTTTAATAGTAATAGAAATAATAGTTATTTCAACAGCATTGTGATGTGGATATATAAGGGTCTAGTGTAGCTCAAAACGGGTCAAAATCTGTGACAAGAGAAGGGAATGACCTGTGCCGTGTAAATAAATGATAAAGCGCTGCCGTTCACCATCACATTCTCTATTACGCACAAGGGCTCGGTGCAACACTTGCTTCATAATTGCAGCATTTTCTCACCCTTCTCTCTTTTCTCCTCATCTCTTGCTCTCTCTGTTCTCTCTCTCTCTCCACCCTGCTAACCCTTGATGTATAAATAGGCTGGTGTTCCCTGCAGGAGGCAGAAGAAGTGAGCTCTCCTCAGAGAGGCGGCAAAAAACTTCTTGTCGCAGGCACGCAAATGCAACAACGTCTCTGTGTATGTATGAATGAGTGTGAAGGAGGAGGATTATTCTGCCGATGCGTATAGTATATAAGTGACCGTGTGTGTATGCGAGAGAGAGAAAGACAGAGACAGAAAGAGAGAGAGAGAGAGAGAGAGAGGTGCAGCAATTGGAACATTCATCAGAGACGTTAAGGCATCAGAATGTTAATGTCACCACAGCTCTGCCCTGCATGAGAGGAGAGGAGAGTTGTCTATTTTTCCGGACCTGCTAAAGAGCTACACCTCTCAAACAAACCATTGTTAAGCATATCAATTCCTTGTCAAAGCCATTGTCATTGTTCCTTTCAAACATTACAAAAACTACTGTGGTGGTACACTCATAGTAACCAATGATAATACTATAGTTATTTGATTTATACCATGACATTGATTCAAACACCATGGTACATGGTGCATTGCATTACATGGTATTCGGATGACAAAGGCTTGTAAATATTCAAATATATAATGATTATAAAATAACACCACAAAAAGTACTGATGGTAACCATGGTATTTACGTGGTATTCCAAGGTACCCAAAAATATGATTTCACCATATGGTACTATGATAGTAATGGAAGTTAATACTATAATACTCCACAATGGTATTTAAAAGAATGCCAAGGTACACCAAGGTACTTCAAATAATTAAATAGTATTACTATAATATTTTTGAAATATGAACAGAATAAGTACTATTTAGGCTACATATCATGATATTATAGTACTCTAAACGTACTTCAGAGAATATCATGCATTCCCATAATACAGTGATGAATGGTAATACCACATTCATTTGTTGTATACCATGGTACTCAGAGAAAAAAACATGGTAATAGTATGGTACATGTTCAAAAGAGCATGGAAATACCATGTTACATTTTTAGTTTGTTAAAAGGAAATATTATATTAAGTAATACAAGTGTAAATTAATTACTGAACATCTCCAATTCTAAAGTTACAAAGAAACAGCATCCTTCAAGCTCTGTTTGTAGGAAGGTACGCGCACACACGGACACACACACTCT